TGCTGCTGGTCAATGCTGAGGAACTCAGCTCAGCATCCTGACATGCCCAGGGCTGGGCACAGCGAGGTTCCCACTTGCTCTCCAGCCAACAGGGACATCTTTTCCCCACTTTGTAGAGGGGGTTCCTTTTCTCATGGCAGGAGGAAGCCTAGCAGCCAGTCTTCCCTTGGCCATTCATAGACCAATGGTTAATGCAGGCTGAAATGCATCCTGGTAGGGTGCAGAGTGGGCAGGAAGGAGAAAGCAGCATAGCGCCAGATAAGAGTAAAGGCTCAGCAACAAAAGAAATCCCTCTATCCCAAGAGTGAAGGTGGCAGGGAGAGATGCAGGCACAGCATGTCACACAGACACTGCTGCTAACAATTGTCCCAAAGGGGTGAACACTGTGACACACAGCTAGCACCGCTGCACTGAGCCCATAGCACAGGAATGAGTGCAGCATGCCAGCATGCAGAGCAGGGCCAAGGGCTGCAGGGCTCTGTGTTGGGCTCTGCTCCACGGCCCCCCTCACTCTGCCTTGGGGATCTGCTTTCAACTCCACTCTTCCACTGCCTTTCCTCTCCCCACGCATTTTGCGCTTCCACCCCTGCCATGTTCAGCCCCTGATCTGGATGCAAAGTTATTCATGCTTCCCTCCCCTCCACTCCTTCCTGCCCCCCAGTGCAGCCACTGCCATCACAGCCCCCACAGCACAGCCTCTTTGCCCCCCACCACAATCCCCTCTTTCCTGCCATCCCTCTCAGCCCAGCATCATAACATGAAGCACCACGCAGAGGACCAAGGGGGTCCCAGTGGGTGTGAGTGCCCCTGCCCCACCCCAGGCACCTCAGCCAGGCCCTACCTGCACTTCTGGTGCTCCGGATCCCTGACGCTTTCTGAGCCTGGCTCTGACCCTGACCCTGCTCTTATATAGCCTGGAACCTCAGCAGAGACTGCAGCTTCCTGCTGGTGAGGCAGAGGAAGGCCTTCTGCTGCCTGAAGCTGCAGCTGGAAGTGAAACTTGGCAGCTGCTGGATGAGATGCTGCCTGGAAATCTTCAGATATGGCCATGCAGTCAATTCCTTATCCATGTGACAGCACAACCACCAAAACCTGCTCTCTGAAAGACTGGGATGCCCAAAGCATTCCTGAAACCATCAGCAATCAGTTCAGGAGTTCTTGTAACACAGGGAAAGCCCAAGGGTGGAGGAGGACAAGCACAGCAGCTCCTGAGAAGAGACACTGAGCTGCTTGTCCTTCTTATTAGTGGTTTCCTATGGCTCTGCATAGGGACTGAGGAGATTGGAATGTTTACAGTGTTTGGGACAACCTGGTGATAGCCCCAAAAATGGCCATGAAGATGCTGTGGGGCCTAGAGCAGCTCTGCTGGCAGGAGAGTTGAGAGAGCTGGGGATGTTCAGACCAGAACAGAGGAGGCTCAGGGGGTTCCCACCACATAAATCCTCACAGGAGGTACAAAGGATTGGAGCCAGGTTCTGCTCTGTGGTGCCCAGGCAGCCATGGGACAGGGCACAGTCTGGAGCCCAGGAGCTGCCCATCAGCAGCACTGCCGTGCTGGGTGGGTGCCGGAGCCCTGGCACAGGGAGCAGAGAGCGGTGGGGGCTCCTCCTGGGGGATCTCCCAAAGTCCCCACCCGTGGGGCTGGGCTCCCTGCTCTGGGTGGCCCTTCAGGGGCAGGGGGAACCAGACGAACCAAGAGTTATAACCCTCTTGCCCAAGCACCTTGGGGTTCTGTGCAGGCTCTTTGTCACCAAGACCACAAGCATGCTGGGAGCTCCCAGGTTGCTGGTTCCTGCCAACAGGTTACAAAGGCATCACCTCTCAGCATCCTCCATCCTTGGGAAAGGTCAGAAAGCCAGCTGGGCCTTTAACAATCAAATCCTGATCTTAGGAAATTTATTGGGTATTCTTCTCTGAAAGAAATGAGCTCAAGAAGCACTTTCAGTTTCACAAGGGCCTGAGCCTCTTCCAGGAATGGCTCTGACTTCTGAGAAGCAGAGTAGGCAGGCACGGACCTGGATGAAAAATAAAGAACTTTAACTGTGTCCAGAAGGTGCATGGAGCAGGGGCTGGGAGAGCAGAGGGCTGGGCGCTGCGCTGTTTGCTGCCTCTGATATCAGGTGGCTCCTGAGGTCACGTCCCCAAACCCGCATCCTCCCCATCACCAATTAGTGCTGAGGCCAGGGATGGCAATGACATCAGGGAGTGAGCTCGGAGAGCATTCCTGTAGGTGTGCATCCCTTGTTTATTGGCTTCCAGACAAAGGGAGATGAGCGAGACCCCCCTCCCTTGGCTACATCCCTTAGACATCGTCTGTTTTTGCTCACACACCACCTGCTGCATTGAGGCACCACATTGGGAAGGGCTCTCATTGAGAGGACTGGGACAGGGACAGTCTTAGCAACGAGTCACTCTGAAAAACTCTACTGAGAACCAAAGTAGTGAGGAGGGGTGTGAGGATGAGGAGCTCCCTGCTCTTTGCTGTGGATTAAACCTGGTTGATGTCTGAGCACAACACAGTCCCTTGCTCACTTCCTGCCTCTACCAGTGGATGGGGAAGATGACTGCATGAATCAGAGGAAGATCACTTGTGGGTCAGGACGAAAACTGGAAGGAAGAAAGAAACTAAACAAGTGATGCAAAAGCAATCACTCACCACCTCCTGTGGGCAGGCTGATGCCCAGCCCATACCTGAGCAGAATATAGCAATCTTCTAATCCTCCTCTTCCCTTTTCTTACTGCTGAGCATGAAGTTACAAGGCATGGAATATCTCTTTGCTTAGTTTGGGTCACCTGCCTGGTGGTGCCCCCTCCCAGCCTCTTGTTCATCCCTCCATCTATTCACAGTGAGAAACAGAGAAGCACTTGATGCAGTGCAAGCACTGTTCTGCCTCAGCTAAGACATCCCTGTGCTGTCAGCACTGTTTTTGTTCTGAAAACTAAAACACAGCACTTTAAGAGCTGCTATGAAGGAAATTAATTCCATCCCATCTAGACCCAATTTACTCTCTCCTTTAAGGGAAAGCTGATAAAATTGGAAAAAAAAAAAAAAAAAGAAGAAGAAAAATCACTGGTGATCAGAAAGCTAGAATAGGTGAGAGGTGCGATGTCATGGCCTTAAGCTGCACCAGGAGAGGTTCAGGCTGGATGCACTAGATGCACAGTCTGTGTCTCCTGTGCTGAGGACTCCACATCTGGATGCAGTACTCCAGGTGAGGCCTGACAGTACAGAGCAGAGAGCCAGGATCACCTCCCTCGCCCTGCTGGCCACACTTCTTTTGATGCAGCCCAGGATATGGTAGGTGTTCTGGGCTACGAGGGCACATGGCTGGCTCATGTCCAGCTTCCCATCCACCAGTATTTCCACGTCTTTTCCAGCAGGCTGCGCTCAATCCTTTCATCCCCCAACTTGTATTGGCAATGAGGCTTGTCTTGACCCAGATGCAGACCTTGCTTATGGATTTGTTGAACCTCATGAGTTTCTCCTGGACCCACTGTTCAAGCCTGTCTATGCCCCACTGGATGGCATCCCATCCCACTGACGTGTGGACTGTACCCCATGCTTGGTGTCATCAGCAAACTTGCTGAAGGTGCATTCAACCCCACTGTCTATGACACTGAGGAAAATATTGAAGAGTGTCAGCCCCAGCACTGACTGCTGGGGGACACTACTTGTCACTGATCTCCATCCAGACACGGAGTCATTGACCACTGCTCTCCGGACTCGCAGAGCTCAACCCCCGTGTGCTGACTTGCAGCCAGTTCTTCAGCCATTGGACAGTCCACCCATCAAATCCACATCTTTCCAATTTGGAGAGAAGGGTGTTGTGGGGTACCGGTTCACAGGCCTTACTGAAGTTGAGATGGATGACATCAGTGGCTCTTCCCTTGTCAATTGATGCAGTGACCCCATCATAGAAGCCCACTACAGATTGGTCAAGCAGGATTTGCCCTTGGTGAAGTCATGTTGGTTCTCCTCTATCACCTTCCTGCTTTCCACGTGCCTTAGCACAGCTTCCAGGAGGATCTGCTCCATGATCTTTCCAGGCACAGAGCTGAGGCTGACATGTTGGTAGTTCCCAGGGTCATCCTTTTTACCCTTTTTAAAATAGGTGTGATGTTGGTTTTACCTCTGCTCCTTTCCTATAATGAGCATTCATTAAAGCGCTGCGTGCAGCTCTGCCACTGATCACCTTCGTTTTGTCATTGCAGAGTCTGGGGGTACCTAAGGGGGCTACAGGAAAGCTGGGAGGGACTCTGTCAGGGGGTGTAGTGATAGGACGGAGAGGAGATGGCTTTAAACCAGATTTAGGTCAGATGTTAGGGGGAAATTCTGTACTCAGAGGGCAGTGAGGCACTGGCACTGCTGCCCAGAGAGCTGGAGTGCCCTGTTGGAAATATCCAAATAATTTATCAGGATGGTATCTCTGATAAAGCAGATTTCGTTCGTAATTTCAATGGCTGGCATCCCGCAAGCAGGAGAGCACGCAGAAAACAGTGTTACATCTTTTACGCTCTATTACTCAACGCTTATCTCTTTCTCTCCTGGCTCCTCATTGGCTGAGAACTTCAGGTTCACAATCTTCCCGATGCTCAACTAAACACACGGATACTGGATAAACATCAATTTTTGCTAGCTAAGCATATATCACTAATTATTGTTAAGTTCTCACACTTGCTCATTCAACACTTGGTCATTGTTTCTGGACATCTGCTCATCCTAGCATACAGATAAACTTGGAAGGAGGATAGGGGGGAGTATCTTGGTGCCTGCCTGTTGCATCCCAACCTACCCACAGAGCCAGGCAATCCAGACTTGTGTAGAGGCCTTGGCTTCTTTGATGTTTGTTAAGTCTGTTTTTCTTTTGCTGAGGGTCTCTTGTCCAAACAGAATAGACCTACAATATGCTTTCTAGCCCATAATACTATACCTATATTATCTGGAACACTGAAAAACTACTGCAGTTTTGCAAGCAAGAATTAATCACACAATTCAGCAACTGTATTTCTAAAGTATGTTGCTAACATATATGGTATTTCTACTTTTTCACATCGGCTATTTCTAAGGACAACTTACAGAATACAAATACATTGTGCTCTGCTTCTTCAGATCAATTCCCCCTTTTCAATATCTAATGCAGAAACAACATCCCATTCCTACATGCCCCGTGCCTGGAGCTGCCCAAGGCCATGTGTGAGGCCCTAAAGGAGGTGTCCCTATGTCACGGTTGGGCTTTGAGGTCCGTTCGAACCCAAACCCGTTCTTTGACGCGATGAAAAATATGATTTCGGAGAGAGCCCTCCCCGCCGCCAGGGGGCGCGCTCGGGTAATGCGGCGCCGCCCGGTGGGAGGTGGCGCGGAGTAGTGACGTCACGATCACGCCGGGTGGGCCGATGCGGCGGCGTGAGGCGGCCTACGGTGGCCGGTGGGGGCCGAGCGGGCGCGGCGTGGGGCGGCGTGGGGCGGCCGGGTCGGGTCGGTGCGGGCACCATGGAGTACGTGACGGCCGAGCAGCTGGCCGGCTTCAGCAAGTATAAGGTAGTGCGGCTGAGAGTGTGGCCTGGGGATCCGTGGGAGCCTGGAGGAGGGGGGGAGATGTCGGGAATTTGTGGGGAGTGGGGAGAGTGCAGGGGATCTGGGGCTTGGGGTCCTGCTGCTGGAGGGGGGCACAATGTAGGGCCCTTTGGCTGAGGGTACGGCGACACTATGGGGTCCTTTGGCTGGGGGGTTTGGGGGGCATTATGGCGTCTTTGGGCTGAAGGGGGCAGTGGGACATATGGGGTCCTTTGGCTGGGGGGGGTGGGGGACACTATGGGGTCCTTTGGCTGGGAGGAGTTGAATATACACTGTGGGATCTTTTGGCTGGGGGAGGTTGATACTGTGAAGTCTCTTTGGCTGTAGGTCTGTGCCATGGAGGAGTCTTGCTGCTGCTGCTGGGGGGGGCTGCTGTGAGTCTTGATGCTTTGGAGAGGGTGGAGGGTAGTTTCCATGGGGCTCTGCCCCACAAAGGGGATGCAGTGGTCATATGAAGTGTCAGTTGTGGTGCTGTTGTCCTTTTGGGGGCTGATGGGGTGTCATGTTCAGGTTGGATATTATGGTGTATCTGTTCTCTCCGAGAGTGATCAGTCATTGCACAGCAGCTCAGGGAGGTACTGGGACCACCATCCATGGAGATGTTCAAGGAAGGTAGAGATGTGACACTGAGGGACGTGGTCATTTGGCATGGTGGGATGGGTTGGGGTTGGGCTTGGTGAGCTTAGAGGTGTTTTCCATTATTAATAATTCTGTGATTCTTTAAGAGGGCATGGTGATGATGGGTAGACAGTAAGACTTGGTAATATTAGAGTTTTTTTCCAACCTTAATGATTCTATGTAAGCATGCCGGGAGTGTTTCAGTGCATCTGTGGAGCAAAGCAGGTGATGAGCTTTCTTGAAGAGCTGGGTAGTGCTGTCCATACTGCTCTGCCCTACTCCTGGAGTGTCTGTGTATTCAAGCATGGCTGGGGCTTACTCACGCCCTCCTTTTCCACCCTCACTTTCCACCACTGTAAGGAATGTGTGAGCCTTGCTGGTACAGAGATTCCATTCCCAGCTGGACCACGAGGCAGAAGCCAGCAGAGCGTGTGCTCCAGGGGCAGGACTGCGGTCTTCCTGGCAGGAGTTGCCTTGCTCGAAAGATTGTGGTTTTATTGAGTCAATAAGGACTTTGATAAAAGCAGGCAGGTTCACAATTAGCGCTCAGAGCGCATCGTGTCTGCTGTATGATGTCTCTGTCTGCTTGGCAGGGCTCTGCTTGTCTTGTTTGCTCTGGGAGTTTGTTTTTCTATGCTATTTTAGCCTTGATGAAGCGGCACAACCCTGTGATACTGAGTGGCGCGTTCCAGCCTTGCTGTGGGCATTGCAGCTTGTCCTCCTGTGCCCTTTCCTTACCTGGTGACCCTGGGTCTGTCACTGCAGATGCAAAGCTGGTTTCCCTTTTGGGTACAGCCAGAAAACTTCTGTAACAGTGTGAAATGCTCCTAAGGAGAGTGCAGAGTGGGGTATGTGTGAATGGATGTCAATACAAAATGTCAGGAGAGCGTTTTAACTTTTGCTGCGTGGCTTTCTTTGCATCGTGTGTTAAACCTCAGCCATGTAACTTGAATACGTACCCACAGCTGGAAAGTGGTGGGAGCAGCCAAAAAGGTGATGCACAGCCAGTGGCAAACCTGTGCTACAGTAGTCCCTCTGTTCCTGTTGCTGCTTTAGCCAGCATGTTATAGATTGGAGAAAAACCTGGAGGAGGCAGCAAGGGAAGGAGCACAACCCTGCTCTCCCTGCAGTGGTGGTTGGTTTTCCTGGAGCAGAAGCGCTTTCTGCAAGGTTGCTTCTTCCAGGTCTTGCTCCTCCTGTGGCTGCCAGGAGTGCAGATGGTGAGCTGGGAGCCAGATGGCTTCAGTTTTGCAGTGTGCACGTTTCTGGCTGGGGAAGGTAGGTGTGTGCCTTCTGGCATAGGTTGGCTGGATGCTGGTGGGGCTGACGTGGAGGGAACCATCTTCTAGCAGCCTCTCTGCCCTTTGTCTGCTCTTGATAGGACACCAAAGTGCTCTTGTGTACAAGGGAGTTGAGCAGCAAAATGTTCAGCGTTGGCTTAACCTTAAATTGTACATCTGTCACTTCTTCAGCAGGAGGTTGTGCTATTTGGGTACGTACAATTGGATATAACTTAATCCATGGGACAGAAAGGTTTCTCTGCTATACCAAATTTACCCCCTTGCCTGATAGTGCTGAGGCTTCCCCAGGAGATGCTGCTCACAGTGGTCAGAAAGCCAAACAGATCCTAAGTGCTCCAGTATTTCCTCCTGTTTATCGGGTTGGTGCAGAGGACTGATAGTTCTGGCAGATTGGAGGGCTTGTTTTCAGAAATAAAGTTTGCTTTAAGGCTGAAGGGTAATTCATGCCTTGACCTTCCTGTTGAATGCTGAACATCTTTGGCCAAAAGCAGGTGCTCTGTTACTGTTCAGCAGCACTGAGTGCCCTCAGCCAGGCTTTGCTGTTCAGGGCTGCAAACCTTGCAGTTGGATGCCAGAAGTCATGATCTGCTTCTTAAAAGCCAGCCTGCAAATCACTTTCTGGCAAGCTTCTATAAAATAGTGAGCAGAGGGGAAAGTGGATCCGTCTGGAACATTCACAGAGATGTCTGGTCCTGTTTCGCATTCTCAAGGAAAAAGACCTTTCTTCCTCCTAGACTGCCTCCAAGTCCTGTTTTTTGCAGAGCAACCCAAACAACTCGCCCTTGTGCAAGCTTTGTTGAGTGTGGTGCCTGGAGCTGGATGCAGAAGAGAGGGGAAGGACACTTTGTGTGTTGCATGCTGCACTGGTATTGCTGCTTCTTCTAGTGCATCTCGATGAGCTGCATGCAGTCTTTGCAGCTCCTGGGACTTATTTCTGGGGGCTGCCACAGCGTCAGGAGTAGCTGCAGAAGGGGAAACTGAATGAGGGCAGAGCGCTGTGGCTTGGTGATAGTGCCAACTTCCACGGCTGGTCACAGTATTCTGGGGTTCCAGTCACGTGTCCCAAAGTTCCTGCAGACTTTCCTGGCTCAGTGTGATCTTTGCTGGGAGTGATTCATGCCCCAGGGTGGAGGGGGTGGACTGGGAAGCAGGGCATTGGAGCACTGCACCTGCATGGCACAGGAGCTGCCCCGAGAGGGGAGGTGATGACACGTGTCTTGCTTGGGTCCAAAGGTGGGATGGGATACTTTGGGAGCAAACTGTGACAGGAAAGTGAAATGGGGGTTTGGGAAATGTTGCACCTTGAAATCCTTCCATGCCTGTGCCTGCACTTTGTGCAGGGGGCAGTGATGACAGCAGCAGCATTGCGGAGGAGGCTGGCAGCTGCCCCCTCACCTGTGCTCTTGTGAAAGGCTTTTTGTTTCCTTACCTGCGTGGGCAGTGGAACAAAGCCCTCATAGTGTTGCTGTCATGTTTGCTGGGCTGAGGATGGCGACAGCACTATGAGTTGTGCCATTGTCCTGATGTTGGGGCCACAGCAGGTCCAAGCATTGGTTGAGTGCCTTGTGTATTGCGCATGGGGAGCTTGAACTGTGATGGGTGATGTCTCTTGCATAGGTGAAGGAAGGAAAGAAGGTTCTTCTCCAGCTGCATGCTTCTAGAGGAGGAGATGTCATGTATGGTGCACAGCAAGCATGCCCTATGCACGTTCCCACATAGCAGATGTTTTATGCCAGGAAGTGCTGGGCTATTACCCCAGTGACAAAGGTGCTCTGTAAAGTGCCACTTAAAATATTATTTGTTAGAGCTGACACTGTGAGAACTGTATAGAAAATCATGTATCTCTTTATATGACAGAATTGCCACAAGTTATTGTAGGGTTTTCTTGCAAGAAAATTTGATTCCTCATTTCCAGAGCCAAACAGAAGGAAACTCATGTGCAAGCATCCCCCAGCTAGAGGCACGGGCATACAGGTACATGGGTACTTTGCACATGTTTGTTCTGTCCCAGGAAATCCTCTTCGCTTCAGATCCAAGTGCTGTGGAGAGCAGGGCTGCAGATACTGCACTGCAGGAAGCAGATGGCTGGAAGCTGTCCTGGCAGCCTCACAGGCTCCTCTGGAAATACGATCCCTGAAGAGATCCCTGCAGACACCCAAATGTGTGCCAGTGGCTCTTCAGACCAGTGGAACAACAACACTGCTGGTAGTGAGAGCAGCAAGAGAGGCTTTTGATGTTAGCAACCTGGATGGGAGGCTTGAGGTTGCTGCTTGGCTTCTCCTGCAGGGTCCTTAGCAGAAAGGGTGCGGTGCAGGAGAAAAGAGCCCTTTGAGCCCTGTTCTTGAATCACTTAACTCCTTCCCCAGTGACTCCTTTAATTGTTCTGAGGCTCTGCATGTGCCTGCCTTTAATCAGCCACTTCCTAAAGAGCTGTGTTGCCTAGGGTGCCCGAAGCCCCAGAGTACTCCCAGATTTCATAACTGCTAAGGTGAGCAGATAGAAAATAGAGGTGCTTTACTTGTTTTTTTTCCTTTTGTTAAATTCAGGATTTTGAACCTCTGCCAAATTCAGCACCAAAGATATTGAGGCACGTTTTGGCTGGGGATCCCCTAGCTTCATGGAGGTCACTGGGGTTGGACTTGATCATCTTAGAGGTCTTTTCCAACCTGAATGATTCTGTGATTCTATTCCATGAAGCAATGGCACAAGTTGCCCAGAAAGGTGGTGGATATCCCTGCAGACACCCCAGATCAGGCTGGAAGGGGCTCTGAGCACCTGATTGAGCTGTAGATGTCTCTGTTCATTGCAGGAGTGTTGGACTAGATGACATTTAAAGGTCCCTTCCAACTCAAATGATTCTAGAATCTGTCTTTTGCTTTGCATTTTTGCTTTGGGTGTCTGATAGATCTTTGCACACATCTTCCTCCACTGCTGTCCTGCTCGGTGCTGGGCTGTCTGGATGCACCTTGTGTGGGTGTAGAGCCCATCCCCAGATCAATGGCTGCGGTGACATGTAAGGATGGAGCAGCTCACCTTTGGGATACC